TGTGCCCACCCTCTTCTCCTCTCCTTGTGCCCATCACCCTGCACCCATCCCCATGCCCACTCCTGGGCTCGGGACCGGGCACCCCGATGCCCCAAGCCCCTTGGTACCCCCCACCCCAGGGGCACCCACGTGCGATAGAGGGCGGGCAGCCCGCAGTGGGCACGGAAGCGGGAGAGCAGGCGGTTCTCCAGGTCGATGGTGGTGGTGCCGATCTCCTGGTCGGGTGGCAGCAGGTCGTAATCTAGCAGCGAGACCCGCAGGTCCTTCTCCAGCGGGATGGTGCCCGTCACCTCGAACAGCCTGGCAGCGAGGGTGCCATCAGCCCCGGGGACGCGCCGGCATGGGGGCTGGCACCCCTTGGCATGGGGAGTGGGGACCCATAGGCACGGGAACCTGGTGGCACAGGGACTGGGTGGCATGAAGACCTAGTGGCACAGGGACCCACCAGCATGGGGAATGGGGCATCTTGGTGGCATGGGGACCTGGGGAACGGGGCATCCAGTGGCACAGGGACCTGCTGTTGTGGGGAATGGGGACCTGGTGGCATGGGGATCCGGTGGCATGGGGACCTGGTGGCATGGGGATCCGGTGGCATGGGGACCCAGTGGCATAGGGACCTGGTGGCCCAGGGACAGGTTGGCACGGGGACATGCTGACATGGGGAACGGGGCCCCATCAGCCCTCCCTGGGCACCTCCTCTCAGTGCTAGGCCCCCCCAGCCTGGTGCCCCCCAGGGTGACAGTGCCACTGGACCACCCACCCTGGCCATACCTGCCAAAAACGGGCTCCAGGGTGTTGGGCACGTACTGGTCCCGCTGGCCCAGCGTCTTTGCCCCCAGTGAGACACGGACATAGGGGTCACACTGGAAGCAGGGAGGGGACCGTCAGGGTGGCATGGGGGGGGAGAGGACAGAGGACCCCTGCCCAGCACTTGTGGGTGGCCTTACTAGCCCGTTCCTGTCGCGGGGTGGCAGGTCGAAGGCTCGGACGACGTAGACCCGCACCAGGCACTTTTGGGGTTGGCTGGGGGGCAGCTCCTGGAAGTGGCGGGGTGGCGGGGGCACCCCGGGGTCCTCGGGCAGGGGGTAGATTCGGAAAAGCCCCTGCGAGAGGCGCCCGGCCATGCACCCCGGGGTGCCTCCGCCCCAGCTCTGGGGGTCCCATGGGGGCTCTCACCCACCTTGAACTCGCCCACAGGCACGGGGTCCTCCCCCGCCGCGGGGTGACCCCCTGGCTGGTAGAGCGGGAAGGTCTGGCAGAAATCCTGCAGCCCCTCGAATTCGGGCACTGCCTCCAGCTCACAGCTGTAGATCTGGGGAGTGGTGTCTGTCCTCATCCTTGTCCCCATTCCCGTCCCTGTTCCTGTCCCCATCCCCATCTTGGCGCTTCTCCCCATCTTATCCCTATCCCTTTCTTCATCCTTGTCCCCATCCCATCTTCATGCCTGTTCTTGTCCTCATTTTGTCTTCAGCCCTGTCCTTGTCCCCATCCCATCCCCTACTTCATCACTGTCCCTGTCCCCAGCCTGTTCCCCTCCCAATCTCCATCCCTGACCTTGTCATCATCCCATTTCCATCCCTGTCCCCATTCCTGTCCTGTCCCAATCCCCCTCTCATCTCCATCACTGCCCCTGTCCCCAGCCTGTTCCCATCCCCGACCTCATCCCTATCCCATCTTCATCCCTATCCCCATCTGTGTCCTCGTCCCCAACCATCCCTGTCCCAGTCCCCTCCTTCATTCTTGTCCCCATCCTATCACATTTCCATCCCCATCCTTGTCCCCTGCTCCAGGCTCTGGCTGACCTTCAGTCTGTCCCTGTTGGTCCCCCGCCGGCTCTTCGCTTTGTCCCCTGTGGGCGCATAGAATTTGCTCCACCAGTCATCCTCATCTTCATCCTCCTCCTCCTCCGCAGCCTGGTGGGGAGCAGGATGAGTTGGGGACAGGCGGCCGCGGTGGCCGCGGTGGCCCCGTTCCCGTGCCCACCTTGTCTGCAGCGCCTTTCTCAGTGGTGGTCCTGGGCAGTATCTGCAGGGAGCAAAGGGGATTACTCAGGGTAATTGAGGCACGGCGCCAGGGACCCCGGTGTCCAGCTGTGCCGAGGCCGGGTGCCGAGGGCCTGGGGGACTCACCTGAGCTATCCTGCCCCAGGGAGCCGCTGTGGGGGGGGGAGAGGGGCAAATAAACCATCCTGGAGGTGGGCAGCGTGGGACAGGGATGGGACGGGGGGGGTACCAGGGATGGGGCAAGGATGGGGCTGGGGAGTACCAGAGATGGGGCAGGGGGTACCAGGGATGGGGCAGGAGTGGAGCAGGGGTACCACGATGGGACAAGGATGGGCAGGGATGGGTCTGGGGAGTACCAGAGATGGGGCAGGGGATACCAGGGATGGGGCAGGGGATACCAGGGATGGGGCAGGAGTGGAGGAGGGGTACCACGATGGGACAAGGATGGGCCGGGATGGGGCTGGGGAGTACCAGAGATGGTGCAGGGGATACCAGGGATGGGGCAGGGATGGGACAGGGGGTACCAAGGGTGGGGCAGGGGGTACCAGTGCTGGGCAGGGCTGTACCAGAGCCAGACGGGGGCGTTCCAGGCCCGGGGGGCTGCCCCTCGCCGTGGGGCTGGCAGAAGTACTGCCCCAGGCTCCGCACGCAAGCCTGCCCCACCTCAGGCCGGTACCCAAAATCTCGCGTGTCCGTCACCCGCAGCCGGATGGGGGGCACGTATTCCTCCTCCGCCGGCAAGTGCTGGGGCCGAGCCGTGCTGTCACCCCGGGGTGCCAGCAGCAGCACCCTTGGGTGGGGTGGTCCCCCCCATCAATCCATCCCCCCCATCCTCACCAGCGTGAGCAGGAAGGCGTTGATGGGGAAATTGGGATTGGTGGCGAGGTCGGTGATGGTGGGGGTCCGCAGGGTCCGGCCCCCGCACTGTACCTCCAGGCTGGGTGCTTGCACGCCACTGCGCAGCCCCCGCAGCCCCCATGCCAGCACCTGGGGGGGGGGCACCCAGCAGCCGTCACCCGCTCTGAGGTGCCCTGAGTGCTCAGGGTTCACCTCAAATGGGCTGGATGCCTGGTGGGATGCTGAAGGTGCACGTCCCCATCCTGGTCCCTGTCCCCATCTCCGTCCCCATCCTGTCCTCCTCTTGTCTCCGTCCCTCTGTGCCTGTCCCCATCTTCATCCCTGTCCTTGTCCCTGTCCCGTCTCCATCCCCTTCTTCATCCCTGTCCCCATCCCTGACCTCATCCCCAGCCTGTCTTCATCCTCATCCCCCTCCCTGTCCTTGTCCCCATCCCATCCCCAGGGCCTTCATCATTGTCCCTGTCCCTGTCCCCAGCCTGGTTGCCTCCCAATCTCCATCTTGGACCTCATCCCCATCCCTGTCCCCATCCTGTTCCCATCCCAGACCTTGTCCACCCTGTCTTCACCCCTGTTCCAATCCACGTCCTTGTCCCCAGCCACCCCTGTCCCCATCCCTCTCCCTGTCCTTGTCCCCATCCCATCCCCTTCTTCATCCCTGTCCCCAGGCTGTTCCCCTCCCTGTCCCCACCCGGGTCCCCGGATCTCACCTCCAGTGCCACCAGCCGCAGGAGGGGCCGGATGCCCAGGGGGACGCTGAAGACCCCCTGCCTCCACGGCGGGGTGCTGACCTGTGCCAAGGACCCATCCTGCCGGGGAGGACGATGACGGTTGGACCCCATCACCTGGGTGCCCTCTGTGCCACCCTCCTCACCAGCCCCTCACCTCGGCGTCGTGCAGCAGCTCAAAGGTGGCCAGCAGCTCCCCGGCCAGCCCCCCCGGCCCCCCCAGGGAGTAACGCCGAAGCCGGGGGGGCCGCCGGCGTCCCACGTCCAGCCAAACATCTGGGGTGCACACACTCCTCCCCAGGAAACCACCGGCACCCTGCAAGGCATTGCTTGGACATGGGGGCTGCCCCCCACCCACGGGTGCCCCCACCCATAGGTGCCGTACCCCTCCATCCTGGTCGAAGACCTCCACCACCACGGCGGGGGGCTCATCCTGGACACCCCGGGGGTCCCCGTACAGCAGCACCCGGTGAAAAAGCAGCGTTTGGTCCCAGAGTGGGTCCAGGGTGCCGGGCAGCACCCGGGTGCTCTGGCTGACGTGCACGAAGGAGACGTGGGCGATGGGGTCTGGGTGACAGTGATGCCATCAGCACCCCAGGGTGCCCACCGGGGTGGGGGCCGGAGGGTCGGGGGGGGGTGTCCCACCTGCGGTGGCCTTGGTGCTGGGGGGTGCTAGCTCCAGCGCCTGGAAGATGTAGCAGCGGAGCTGGAAGAAGTTGGGTCCTGTGGGAGAGGCAGGGGCTGGTGGGAGGACCTGGCACCCCCCCCCCCCAGCCTGTCCCCGTGTCCCCCGGGACTCACGCTGGAAGATGCAGAGGATGAGGGGCATGGGCTGCTGCGGGGGGGTCCGGATCGAGCTCCGCAACTGCCGCTCTGCCGCAGCCGGCTTGTCCTCCTCGGCCGGGTCCTCCGTGCCCTGCGGTGGGATAGGATGTGGGGGGTGGTGGTGGGGGTCCCCTTATCCCTGCTGTCCCCCAGCTCTGCGTCCTGCTGTCCCATGTCCTACTGCCCCAGCATCACTCCATCTCCACATCACTCCATCCATCCCTCCGTCCCTCCATCCCTCTCCCTCCATCCCTCTCCATCCCTCTCCCTCCATCCCTCCATCCCTCCATCTTTGTCCCTCCATCCCTGTATCCCTCCCTCCCTCTGTCCCCCATCCCTCCACACCCCCCTTACTCCCAGGACCCCC